TGGGGCTCAGTGAGTCTGCTTTCCTGGCTCAGAGAGCCTGCTCACCCAGACCCCAGCTGGAGAAGTCCCTGGGCCGCTCAGTCTCGATCTCCTCTCTGCTGCCACCGCGCCTCAGTCTGTAATGTCCGCGGGGTCTTTGTTCTCGCGTCCAGCTCTCCGGGATTGGATGGGGCCTACCTGGCTCTGTGTGCGTGTTTCAGCTGGGAATCGTGATGGTATGCGTCCAGCACAAACTCGGACCCAGGAGCCCTGCCTCTCCCGGAGAACTCGCTGCCTTCAGCTTATTTTTCATTGAAACAAAGAAGGGACAAGATTGATGTGTTCTGAGAAGAGACTCAAGAACTCTCCTAGTTTTAATTGAACGACTTGACTGAAGTGTACACCAACAGACGCAAGCTACAGAGCAGTAGAAATGAGGTGACACATGTGTAAACGGTACTGGGGTTTTGTTTTTGCAGAGGTTTCCCCGGGAGGTCCGTTGGAAAGTATTTGTGATGTAAAAGAGTTACTACAGTCAGACCGAAATATGTACACATGAAGGAAATCTGTGATGAGCCGTCCTACACAAGACTCATTTACGTAGTCTTCTGAAGAAGCACTGATGCATTTGGCACGTTATTTTGTTCAGACTCCAAATATTAATCGTATTAGTTTTGGTGCAGGCACAAAATACCCGATAGGCAGAACTGAGGAATAAAAATGTTATTTTGGCTTATGATCTTCGACATTGAAATCTGTTGTTATGTGTCTCCTATGTGGAAGTATCATGGTGGAAGGACATGAAGAAAGAAAAATAACTACCATTCGAGAGCCAGGAAGCACAGAGCAGAACTAGCGCCTGAAAGGAAGGGGAGGGCAAAGGTGTGGTCCCAGCGTCAGTCCTTCAGGACTCCAGCGGACACCAGAAGCGCGCTCCATTGCTATCGTGCACGTCTCTCAAGCCAGACAGGTAATGAATCGAGATCTGTATGGAGAGCTCTGATCCCATTTTCTCCAGCCGCCAGGTCCCAGAGCACCTGCCTGGGCTCCGAGAACAGCCGAAGTCCCTTCCCACATCCGGAAGCTCCCCGCCTGCAAGGTCAGGTCAGAAGGCGCTTGGCACCGCGCACCGGCAGCCGTTGCCATGGCAGCCAGGTTCCACGCGACCGTTGCCACTCAGCTCGTCTTGCTTCACTGATTTCTCGCTCTCAGCCCGTCAGTCTCAAGGGCACCCAATAAACCTGAGGCCGACTTTCCTCTAGAGTTATTCTCGACGCCGGGAGAGGCACTGGTTTAGAAGTCTCTGATTTATAATCCACTACTTGAGCTCGCCTCGGGCCGGGCGGGATTCCTCTCTGCGGTCGCTCTCAGCCCGGAGAATCGGCAGTGGGGCGGGAGCCAATCACCGGTTGGGAGGCGGGCACTGGGACGGGATCCAATCACTACGAGGCAGCCCGTAGAACCGACCAATCAGGTGGGAGGAGGGAGGGCTCCTCCGGTGTCATGGCGCCTCTGTCCACATCCTGAATGTTGCTGAGAGACACGCCACCTCTCACAACCACCTTTCTGCGTGACTTCTGCCGGCTCTGCGCTGCGGGGAAGAACCGTGAGCGACCATCAGGTCGCACCATGGTGACGGTACAGCATGGGGTGCGATGGGGCGAGGTCTGGGCGGAGTGGGGGGCACCAGCGGTGGCAGCGGGCGCCTTCCCGTGTGCCGGCGTCTGAGGTCTCCGGGGCTGGGAGCCCTCTGTCCGTACTGACCCGGCTGGGGCTGGTCCAGCTCTAGGACCCCAGCGTCCCGTCTCCCTGGCGATCCCACCCGCTCAGCGTGCAGGCTCGGGCAGCCCCCGCCCTCAGCCCCGTGTTCACCTGTGCGGGGCACATTGGGTCGTGGGAAGACCCCGACTCGGTGAGGGGGTGGGCACAGCTAGCTGAGGGGTGCTGGTTTCCTTGTCGCATCCCGCCCTGCAGCAGACGTGGAGGGCCTGCGTTGTATAAGCGTCTGTGATGCCCGGTCTCCAACCCACTACTTGCCTCCTGGAGAAGTGCTCTTTCCTGCTGACCCTGAAATTCTAAATTTCCAGTACGTCCCCTCATTGCCAATCTCATGACAGGTGTTGATAAGGTAGTGGGGAATCCAAGGAAATGTTCAGTGTTAGTGGCGATGTGACTTCATGGTGGAGCGGTCGCCAAGCACGCGGTGAACTCGTGTGTTACACAGCAACGCAAATTTTTATTGTCTTAATTATTTAGATGGCATCTTTACTGACAAATAAATCATTTAGGTGGGGTCTTCCCATAGCGTTTATAATTCTGAGAAAAATAGACAGGATGTTAATATGTTGGCAAGCGTCGGTGAAAGTGTCCCTGCTAAGGACAACTTCCCAAAAGTCCTGTGTGTTAAACCCACACTGAGAAACGCTTTGAACTGGGGCATCTACAAGGACTCGTGATTTGGTAGGAATGGAAAAGGAGGGTGAGTGTCATCTCGTAAAATTGCGATACTCCTTGGGCTGCTTGTAGGCATGGTTTTAAAACCTGAAGTGGTGACTGAGGTAGACTTTATATTAAAGCAGTGCTGTAGTGGGGATGAAGCCCCAGAGTTAAGTTCTGAGGCACAGGAATGGTTCAGGATAAAAGAGTTTTCTATGTACGGAGGAGCAAATGGGAGGAGCAAGAAAGCAAAAGGGAGAGAAAGGCATGCTGGAGGGATCCAAAATTAGCACCTACAACTCAGAGGGTCTTCCCCTGAGGTTAGATTTTTCTTAACTGTGACCAAAAAGGAAGGGTTGTGTGCTGTTTCAGTTTGAGTGGGTCAAAGATCACAGGCTTAACCGGGGAAAAGAACTTATTAAATGTTAGATAAATATGCCTTCTGTTATTATCCAATTCAAATATATGTTTCCTAAAACATGCACACAGTAAGAACTTGTTTTTTTCTGCCAAATTTACTGGAAAATAATTTACTTATCGTTTGACTCATTCATTTAAAATATATATGCTCATCACCATAGTTCATTGAGAATATTTTCTTTAACTCCTAAAGAAACTCTCCTTCCTTTCCTTCTGCTCCCCTATTCCCAGTCCCAGCCGCTCCTAATTTACTGTTCACTATCAATTTTTATATTCTAGCCATTTTCTATAATGTCTGACTCAATGCTGTCTGTCTTAATATGACATTTCCAAGATTAACCCATATTGTAGCATTTATTAAAAACCCAATTTTTATTTATGAATATTATTCTTTTTCATAGAAAGCTTTGATGTATAGTTATTTATTATTTGCGGGGCCTTTGAATCATTTCTACCTTTTAGCTTTGATGAATATTAAGCTTTAAGTTTTAAATATTCATGGAAATGTAAAAGAATTGCTTTGGGGATATAATTTGAGAAACAGGTGACATCAATGATCAGATTATCCCACCCTTAATAGTAATTTAAATGGGTGTGTAGAAAATTTTCTACACTTTTGAGTATTTAAATATTTTTATATTTATGGATATTGCATGCTTTTTGCTATTTACTAAAGATTTCCGTACAAAAGCTTTGAATATAAAGATGCATTTGTGCTTCTTGGACCTTGTCTGTGGGATCTGAGGTACTTTAATTTTAATTCCATGTAAAGATTTATTTTTTTCATCAAAATGTATCTCTTTAGATGTGCAGAAACTTTTCAGTAGGATGAGATCCCAGTTGTTGATTCTTTGAAGTATTTCACATGTGGTTTGGTTTTTGTTCATGAACTCTCTGCCTACCCCTATATCTTCAAGATTTTTACCTACTTTCTCTTCCAATAGATTTAGTGTTTCTGTTTTAATATTGAGATCTGTGAACCATTTT